TATATATATATATATATATATATATACCAGATATTAAATTATTATCAATGATTATGAGACAATTAAAGAAAACGTGCAACAAGCTCTTGTTCTACTTACTCTAAGCTAATTCAATCGAAAGCTTTTTACATGATTATTTTAGGTTCAGAAAAATATTTGCTCACATATAAACGTGATTTTTTGTAGTTTTAACGAGTTTCCTACTATCTCGTATTTTTTTACTAATAATGCCATAGTGAATAGCCAAATATTAAAAATATATAGATATTTATATTAGATGAAAAATACAATTTATAATTATTCTTTCATTGATCCTTCATTCCGATATCTATAAAATATTGAAAATATCAAATTATATTTACAATATTGTATCGAATATTAATAGAACTCTACATTAAAAAAAAACTTTCTCGTCCCATTTGCTTTGTTTTTTAGTTAATACTATCTCAACAATTTAATATTTTGATAAATAAATGAATGATCGTTATTATCATTCATCTGAATAAACTGTAGACCGAATACAAATTTAACGAACTACCAGTAAATTAGAAATTTTTTAATTTATTTGAACTATCTTAAATTAATATCAAATTTAAAATTTATTTTTTATCCATAAATTATTGAAAATTAAATGTATTTTTACAGCTGAATTTTCTTCGTTCCTTCGATTAAGCCACGTAAATACTAAATTTTCTTTGCTTAACAACAAACAAATATTAATTGTATAATTAAGATAATAATGCTATTAAAACTTGATTTTATTGTGAATGTATTATTGCAAAGAGTTCATTGACAATCTTAAATCAAAATAATATAAATTAGTGCGACGATTTAGATTAGACGATATAGAAATTTATATTAGAAATATATATATTATATATTAATCGTTATGTGAAAAATTTAATTAAAATTATCATTTCAATTGTCGTAGATGAGAAAGTTTTTTTTTTTTTTTTTACAAAAATAAATATATGTTCTATGGTGCTTTATTAGAATTGTCCTTTTTATTCATATTTTATATTACTTTAAACATAAGACTTTGTAAACTATATATATATATATATATTTACGTGATAATTGAAGCGTAACAATAAGGACTATAAATATTTTGAGGAACACGCAATAATATAATAATAAATCACAAATTCAACAAATAACTCTGCAAATAATTCTTCTTAGAAACATGCGAATAAAGTTATACGAGTTACATCTTGCTACATTACAGTTTTTATCTTCAATGCACCTATACGAATATTTAACTAAGTTAATTATATATAAAGATATTAAATATCGTTTTTAATAATAAAATTATAATTTCAATACAAAATTTAATAATTGAAGTAAAAGCATATTAGAAAAAATTATAGATTTTAGATAAAAAAGAATGCTTAAAATGTATTAATCTTGATGAATCATTATGTGAAATAGTTCATTATTTATTCAAATTTTACGTAAATCTTATCGAATATATGTGTTTTATTATATTTTACAGTTATAAATTTTTTTTTCATTCATAGAAATTTTATTAATTTAGAGTAGTTATCAAGTGTAATTATGTATAATGAAATGAAAGGGCTAACAATATTTTATTAAATGTGATGATATAGAATTTTTTAAATGTAACTAAATTATTATTCATAAAATAATATATACTATAATTGAATTTCAGTGTTATTATTCTAATTTATAAATAAATAAATAAAACTTCACTTTTAAGATTTTTGTAATGAATTATTTATATGATATTAAACTACTAAATTAGATTTATCATCTTTTAATCAAAGCAAATTATATGCATGGAAATTTATTGGTTAAGTAAATATTTGGATGTTCAAAGTGCATGTTGGCTTATATTTATATAATAACGAAATTAATGTATTTATAAAAGTGATATTGACATTGCATTTAAAAAGTAATATTAAATATTTATTTAGTATACTTTCTTATTTAATTCAATACTTTTATTAGATAATTTAATGAAGCGATATGTAATCTAATGAGAACATTATAAAATTGGAAAAATGAACTTACTTTGTAACCACCCAAATGTTCAACGTGACAAGTGAAAACAACGTCTCTACCAAGCGGAATTGTCATATTTTCAAGAGGTTTTGTGAATTCAGGCTGAAAAGCTCCACCTATAAAAAATAATGATAGCATGGAAATTATTGTGATAAATTAATGAAAATATACACATGTAGATTCAAAATATAATAATAATTAGAGGTACCCAATATTTCATGATTATTATTTGCCATGCATATGGCGCATTAAAGTATTATTAATGCTTTATAATTTATAATTTTTAATAATTACATTCATATTTATATACGTGATGATATATGTATTCATTATATTGGCAAGCTATGATGAAAGATTATAAATTAAAGTAAATTAATAGTTTCAGATTTTTCGTGCATTCCAGTTATATTTGAATTTTTGACATGTGGTACGTTTTGCTAAGTGATGGTCATAAAAAAATTTAACAAGGTGGAAATATGTGGGAAAATAAAAATAAAAGAGTCTATTTAATAAAGTGTTTAAAAAATAGAGCTTTTTCAAAATAATCAGCAGAATTTTTTTTTTTTTGATTCCTTGAGAAGGGTTTCATTTGAAGAAATAATTTTTAAATATTTTTTTTATTTACATATTTTACATATCAAAGTAAATTTCTTAATTTCAATTATACAAGTCCAATGAATATCCAAGGATTTTTAATCGATTAACTAAGAAACTCGTTATCCAAGAATGCTTCATGATTATTAAAAAAAAAAAATATATATATATATATATATATATACATATTATGAAATAGTTTAATGCTATTAATAATGTATATATTCCGTAATCGATCTACTTTTCATGTGTGAGGAAATGATTTTACAAGTTATCGATATATTACGTATCATTTTGTACATTTTTATTTATCTCAGAATTTGTTAAAGTCGTTGAAAATCTAAATATGAAATATTCAAAATCTAGAAAAATTATATTTTCGAGTATTAAATTAATATTATGTTTAATTAATATTAGTTTAAATCATTAAACTAATTATATCTATGTTTAATATGATAATGGTAACTACAATAAAAGTAAATAAAACTTTGTTAACATTTGAATAAATAAAAATTAAACTTGTATTTTTAAATAAATTAATATTATTGAAAATGAAAAGTCTTAATTTCGATATTCTGGTAAAGAATGTATTCCATCGCTAAATGATATTATGTTAATTAGATTAAAAATATCCAAATACTCACGTGCGCGCGGACACACACACACACGCGCGCACGCACGCACGCACGCGCGCGCGCGCATATATTTTTCATGTAATGTCCGATGGATTGTTGAATTCTCAAAGATCTTATTTGTTTTATAAACTTCATTTAATATTAATAACTTATACATTTTCGCAAATATTTTCAAAGTAAATAAATGATTTAGTATATTAAATTTATTAAATTTACATTAATTTTATTACTGAAATTAAAGTATCATATTAACTGTGCGGATGATATGATTAGCATATTCAATAGATTCAATGTATAAAATATTAATGGAAATCGTGTAATTCGGGGTACAGCAGTTAAAAGATATAGAAAGGATTATAAATAGAAGTAAATAATAGAAAATAGTGTTATTATCAATTAGGATTCCTTTTGTATTATAAACATCGTGATTTGCTATCTTACGAAAATACAAGTACAATATCTCATAATTTTTTCCCAATTGCGTTTCACTTAATTGATACTTACTTAGTTGCGATATAATTTCATTGCCAATGCATTCGTTTGAAAATACCTCATTCTATGTAATAATTATAAATGTAAATTAATATTTCAGATCAATTTCCAACGTTTAAAATATTCGCAAATGTTAATATAAAACATATTTTAAATGCAAATTTTATGCAAAGTAAAAATTTGCGAATATGAAAAATCTTTAAAATTAATATTTATCTACGTATTAGTAAAAAATTTAACAAAGTAGAAATTGAAACTGTTTAATTTTTCAGATTTCCTTATAGATATATCGAGTGGTATAACTTCTTAGTATTCATCTTTTTTCTACTTGGATGAATAATTTACTTTTTAAATTCATGATTTACCTATACGCAATGGTAAAAGTTTTATACATAGATTTTAATCAAGCCATTTCATTTTCATCAATGATTTTATTTTAGATTATCCAGTCAAATGCAACTTTCATTAAAATTTATTCAGAATATCGCATAAATGTCAGCCTATTAAAAATTTTTACGCTTATAATATAATTAACATTAATTATACATATATATATATATATATATATATATATATATATATATATATATAATGATACTTTTTAGAAATTGAAATGATAGCTTAGAATGACATTTTATTTTGTAATATGAATCAATAACAATTAATAATAACATACAAAATACAGTTTATAAAAAAAAAAAACAGGCATAAGATCTACGTACGATCTACGTATAATTATTCCAAAAAGTTAATGCCAATTAAATTGTCACGTAATAACTTCCTTCCAAAGTAGGCATTCTTCAAGAATTAAAATGCTCTTAGAATTTTTTGACTCTGACTATTATAATAATCATACTTGGAGTGGACGTGGATATACCATGATCGAATGAGTTATATGATGTAGTTACAAACAAAGGATGTAATGAAAATAGACGATGGAAATGATTAAATTAGGAAAACCGCAAATTTGCTAGCCTTCGTTTCAATAGTCGAAGCTTGTTTAGTACTGAACTCACTATTCCACGTTCTCTCTCTTACATTATGTAAACTGTTATTATTCTATTATGTTCTGAAAATTTGTAATGCATAATGAAATTTTTTTAATGCGCTCATTATGAATTACATTAAATTTTATAAATTTTTTAATGCTCGTCTATAGATATATAAAGCTTTTAAAAATGCATATATTTTCAACAATTTTTAATTTGTAAAATAAAATAGAAATATTGTTACTTAGTAAAAGTTATGATATGTTTAGCTTTCACAAATAATAACCTAAAATATAATCATCACATTATTAAAATATATTTATGAGTTTAATAATTCAATTAATCAAATTTTCGAGTTTTAAAGCGAAAGTTGAATTTGAGTTTCCATTATGATAAATATAAACTGATTAATAATATAAACAATTAATAATGAAACAATCCAATTTTTTATTGCCTGGCTCTTACTAAAAGCAGTATGACGAAAGTCAAACTGCAAAAAAATCACTTTATACAAAACAATAATAATAATTCAGTAATAAGTAACTTGTGTATCTTTAATTTAAATAGATAATTTTTAAATAAAAATAAACTCCAAATTACTTGAAATAAGAGCTTATATAATTAGTTTATGAAATAAATGAAATTATTAATTAAAGGATTATATGTATATTATGCAACTTATCATACAATGTAATGTAAATATCATTGATTTTTTAATAGCTATAATATAATATTTATTACAAATAATATAAATTCAAGATCTTAAAACGTCATTTAATGTGTAATTTTTTAAGCTTTATTATTATAATGTAAAAAAGTGTTTTTTAGAAGAGTTGTTTGGATTCTATAAATTTCTATAGTATTTCATAGATTTTTGTGTTTGAATTGAATATGAAATGAATTTGCTAGAAACAAACTCATTATGGATTGATTTATAATTAATTTCTATGCAAAACAGTTTAACGATGCTTCTAGTAAGAAAATATTTTAAAAAATTCACAATCAATTGTAATCTTAAATAAAATTGTTAAAATGTTTCTATTCATTTTAAATATTTAAATATATCGTGTGTAGAATTAAAAATACTAGTATAAAATATAATAAAATGAAGAAAAATATATATTTTTCAGGTTCCATAGTATATTTATTGAAAACCATGAAATCAATAAATATATATATATAAAAAAAAAATGATCTAAAGGAATAGTTGTAAATGACAATTATTATTAAATTTCATTTAATTTTCTGTTAAATTTTTTCAAATGTTATTCGATATACAATACACACACGCACACGCACACACACACACACACACACACACATACTTCTATATATATAACGAATTAAAATATAATAAATATCAATTGAATATTATATTAATTTAATTATTAGAAAATTAATACATTATATATTAAATCTGTCATTCAACTGTATATTCGTACTATTATATCATTAGTAGTGTAATAGAATTTATTTGATTGATCATACCACTTAATAAGTTTAGATTAATATTGTTTAGTTATAATAATTATACCCTATGTGAAATTGTATTTTTATATTTTAATTATATTTTACGAGATTTATAATCATCGTGCATTTCATTGGTATTTTGTAAACGAATTAGAGTACAATATGCAGTGTGTATTTAATGATTTTTAGTATAAATTTGAATTGCATGTGTTTGAGCAGAAAAAGTCGATGAAAGGCTTTTTGTTTTGTAAGGTTGTGTGCGCGTGTGCATGTGCGAACGCTATTACAACGATGACAATGTATAGTTAGCGTGTTCTTCATTTTCTTTTACCGTATAGTTTGTCACCTTTAAAAATTTTAGTTCCTGTCAATTGTAAATATATGATATACGAATTATTAATTATCATTGATATTTAGTTTGTCCAGAAAGAAGAAAGTCCTTTTCAAATTGCATCTTAAATGTAATGAAAATTGGCTAACTAAATGTTCACTATGTATACATTAAGGCGCGAACAATGAATAGAGATCGTGTATTGAGAAAGTACGGATGGTGGAAAAAGTTTCCGCGATAGTGTAATTAAATGGTGATGCCTTTTTCATTGTCGTTAAATTTGTATATTTTATTCATGCAATGTTTTAAAAAAACATGGAGGATATATGATTTGTTTTATTTTGGAACAGCATGTATAAAAATAGAATAAGTGACCTTAAGATTATCCAAGAAAGTTGAACTTTTGCTGTAATTTTAATTAGAGAAAGTTAATTATTGCACTGTTACGTTGACAAATTAGTCAATGTGATAAATTATATTTAAATTTCTTTATCCTTTCAGCGATACTGTGCTTTAATTGCTTTAATCTACATTCTTCTATGACTATATTTTCTTTACTATTAATTTCATTAGAGGAAGAATTTAGTATTTAAGCGGCTTAACGTGCGCGTACGAACATTCTAAAAATCCATATTAAAATATTTATTTCATATTTAAAATTTACGTTCGCTATGACAGTTCAATTATCTTATCGAGACATTGCAAAATTTATTCTTGTTAATGTA